TGGGCACGGTTCTAGGTTCTTCACCTGTATTATTGCATTGAATTCTCACACAAGTCTATAAGGTAGGAGCTTCTCATGGTCTCCTGGGGCACATGCATTGCTGTCACAGTGCGCATGGAAGGGTAGTGTTGCCTATAGAAAGTGATACTGCACAGAGATTGAGGTTGCATCTAGATTCCTTCCCGAAGGACACATTCCAGTCAGATGACCACGTGCCAAGGTGGTCATGCTCGCTGGAAACTGACCTTTAATGCACTTACGGTTTAAACCAGGGGCTCGGGTTAGAAAGCAACCCCGTGTGTCTGGGAAGAGTGGAGAACAAAAGCAACTGGGTGGTCAGAGGGAAAAGCTCAGAGAGGACAGATCTCAGAGTGGCATCTGACCTCAAGACTAACTGTGCGGTCTTCTAGGGTGACAAGTAGAGCTCACTCTGTAGGGAGGGAGGGCAAGAAGCCTGTGTGCAGGTGTGTAGGCGACCCCGCTCTCCAGTGATCTTTTCCATTTCGTTTGTTAATTATCCCCCAACAGAGCAGAGCCGGCACATACAGTGAACTTGGTAAAAGTTCGTTTCCTTATGCATTGGGTACGATATAACCGCTCTATCGGTAAAGTACACCTTTCTATGAATTCATTTATAGATCCAGTCTTACGAACAGGTTTTGCTAAATGTAGGGAAGGAGAGACCCTGGGAATACCAGGCTCCAGGGGTGGAAGGAGCGGATGTCTCCGGGGAGAAAGAGGACGTGGGAAAGACAGAGTGGGCACCTGAGAGAACCCCTCTGACCAGCGTGACCTGGGGAGCCCTGGGAGCAGAGGACTGTGTGGCTGAGGGGTGCCCACAGATTGCAGGAGGCTACAGGGCTGACCTGTGCCCACGCCCTGTCCATGGGCACCAGGACCTGCCCGGTCAGTGCACAGCAAACACACGTGCTCTTGCTTATACATTCCGTGCTCTTCCGTAGCTTCCTTTAGCAGGAAAGCCACCCATGATTCCTCAAACAGAGTGGCCGTCTTGGGGTCACCCGGGGCAGGGGGATGTGGGTGCATCTGGGGGGTATGGAATGTTGATAGCATAGATACTTGAATTGTCCCAAGATACTCAGAAATCCCTCATTCTTCCCCAAATTAGGGACATCTTCCATGTTCGGTTCTCCTCTGTCACGGTCAGGCATCTTTTTTTCTTTTTAATCCTCACTTGAGAATAGTTTTCTATTTGTTTTCAGATAAAGTGGGAGGGAGAGAGAGAGAAACATCGATGTGAGAGGGACACATCAACTGGTTGCCTCCCGCATGACTCCGACCAGGGCCGGGGATAAGCTACAATCGAGGTGGGTGCCCTTGACCGGAATCGAACCCACAACTCATTGGTTCTTGGGCCGATGCTCTACCGCTGAACCACACCGGCCAGGGCCACAGTCAGTCATCTTAATCCCAGCAAATAACATTCTGAGCAAACATTACCTGTTAGCTGATGAGTCGAGTCTAAACAGGCTCATTGCTTTCATCGTCAGAACTCCAGTGCCTGCCTGGCTCAGTCAAGGTGTCAAAGTGGTCGGTGAACTCATAGGTAATTTTACTATTTACAGAAGGAACCATCGAAATAGTCCCTGAAAAGTCTCAGCCCTGTACCTAACATTGGCTTAGGGAGGGAAGGAGGACATGGCCTCTGGGAGTTTGCAAAGCCTAGGCTCATAAAACAGCTGAGTAGCAACAGCAAGGTGCGATGAAATGCTAAAATCAGCCATCTGTATGTCACCTGTGATTCTCAACCCAGCCTGGCCATGAGGGTCACCTGTGGAGCTCCGGGAAGCCGCAGCTGCTGGTAGCTCACCCAGAGAGAGTCCGATTGGGTCTGTGGGGTCAGATCTGTGTGTTTTCAACGGTCCCCAGGCGATGCCCTGGAGCACGCAGGATATGAATCACTCGGACAAGTGCTGAGGAGTGTAATTAAAAGGGAAGCCAGTGAGGGCCCCACTGGGGAGAAGAGCCTGGTGGCTCAATCGGACCTTGTTTTGAACCCTGAACCCTAGAGAGAAGGTGGATAGACAGTGATGGAGAGAGGAGAACATCTGCTTGGGCACGGAGAATGGAGACATTTCAACAAAGGGAGTTGGAGACCAAGCTGATACACATTTGATGAGTGGCAGCCACATACTAGAGGAAGGGACATGATGGCAGAAGGAACAGTCTTAGTGATGAGAGGAAGGACGCAGGGGTCAAGTACCTTGGTCCACAAACCTTAGTTTGTGCCCACTAAACAGCTGTGGGTGGCTATCGACATGGCCTTGAAGAAAAGGCTGAGACAGACAAAGAAATGCATGCGTTTTCACTAGGAGATGAGACTCCAATCTGAAACAAGTCCCTGGGCTTGGGGCCCCATGTTCTCGGAGCTGTTACTCCTGGAGCTGCTGCACCTTGAGGGTTGAGAGTATGTCTCCCTGACCGTCGGTACTCCCCAGATCACCAGGGTTCTGCTCCTCAACAGCAAGCTTGCTCGCCTCTCTGCTTCCTTTCTAGGGAGTAATGAAGAAGCTGGGTGGGGCTGATGTTTGGGGTCATTGGAGGCAGAGGGGAGGCTCAAAGAGATGAACCAAAAAACAATCGTAAATGAAAAATGATCTTAATGGAGGGTAAAGGGGTGAATATGCCCGATAATAAAAAACAGGTTACCCCGAATGGTCAGATTGTGAATGGTATACACCACATTTAGTGAGCTCACCTATGACGCACAGTGAGGGCGCGCTCCCTGCCTGAAGGACTTTTGACAGGATGTGTGGCGACAGATCCAAAAGTTACGGAAACAGCAGCTCACCGGAGCAGTTCAAGACGTAGTACCAGCTTGCTGATTTCCTCCGTCAACAGCTGGTCTGTTTCTCCATCCAACTGAGGGCAAACCAAGAGAACCAACCAGAAAACAACTGGGAAAAAGAATGTACAGAAAAGGAGAAGGCGAGACCCTGCCCTGATCCCTAGGACCCCGAGCCACACGTTCCTGTCCTGTCTGCTAACAATGGAGCTATTATTGGAGGAGCAGAGAAGAGCAGCAAGTAAGGCCTAAAGATTTTGCCCAGAGGCAAGCAGACAAAGGGAGCAGCAGTTTCCCAGGGAAGGAAGATGATTCCCCTTTAACTCATTCAAAAAAACTCTTCCAAGAATGGAGCCAAGACACCCTGACTGTGTCTTGGGGTGGGTGGGAGGCTGTCCCATCACAGTGGTGCCAACTGTGGGTGCCAGCACCAGTCACCGTCGGCAGGCTTGGGCAAGGTGCATTCCCAGGTCTGTGTGGAGCAGGCAGTGACCAAAATTAAGATGACTGTCTGGGTCCCCAGGCCCTCGTGATGAGTGCATGTCACAAAAGTTCTCGCTTCCCTGTGTCCTCCCAAGGCAGGCTCTCAGTCTCTATAGCCTGTTCTACTGATCCCCGTAGCTTCAGGCCTCAGTCCCCAGACCGGCTGGCTTGAGACAGGAAGAGCTCAGAGTCAGTACTTCCCACCCCCAGCACTGCCCCTCGGGACTGTGTCCCAAGGAAGACGGCACCCGCTGACCACCGGGCTCCCTACCGTCCTGGAGTCACCCTTGCTCTTCATTACTCCTAGTGCTCCCCAATGGGCCACCCCGTACTCGGGGATACCGCTACCACCTAATAGCCCCTCTATATTACAGAGCACCCTTCTCCTGGGGGGCAGTGCGTTGAACTTCCTGATCTTGGTTCCAATCCCAATGAATTTTGCTCTTGGTGGTACCTTTCTCCTTATTGGAAGCAGGGTCAGGAAAAGATCTAACTCTGACCCGTAGCTCAGTTCTGGGGTGTAGATTCCTGTGGACAAACCTACCAGAGGCTGGCAGCCCACCCTGACTTCCAAGAATTGCCTGCCCCCAATTCCCAGTGGGCCCTGTTCACCTCGTTGGCATCATTTACCACTCCACGTGGAGGCCCGGGTACCGGGTATTAGCTGAACGGGAGTGTGGAAGGCCCAGCCCCTCGCCTGTGCGCCTCCCTGCTCCTCTCTCGTCTGCCCCACCCGGCGGGCATGTTCAGGGTCAAGTCGAAGTCCCTTTCCTACCTCCACAGCTCCTGGGAAATCCTGACACAAGAGGAGCCCATGTGGGAAAGTGTCGATCTTGCTGGGAATGTGGGGTGACTGGGGAATGTGGGGTGCCCAGATCCTAACACCTAGCTCTCTTCTCCTGGAGAATTCAGGTCGATGAAACACACACATGTTGCTCAGTTAGGACCACAGTGTCGTTTCTTTTGGGACTTTCTCTAACACGTAGAACAGAGAATGTAGCAGGGCGTCCACGGGAGTAAAGACGGCAAGTCTGCCCTGCAGGGCTCACAGGTCCGTCCCTTCCAAGCCGAGACGCTGAAGAAAGTTCCCGGCTTTAGGGTGGTCCTTCCGGGGGTGGCCCGCAGACACCAAGAACACAGAGCCCATTGCTCTAGGACTCAGGCTAGTCCGAGAGAAACCAGGGAATGAGGGGAATGTGTGTGAGCAGGGACCTTGAACTTTTTAACCTTGCCTAATAGAGTCCTGGCCAGTGATGGTCACACTCTCATCAATGTCACTACTCACATAAGTCATTCCTCTTCCTGTTGGGCAAGAAAGGTAAGGGTATGAAGCGACCCTGGAAATCCCCGCCCCCAGCCCTTCCTCCACATGTTGGTGGAGGCACCTTCCCCAGTGGGCTGTGGACCTGACTGAGCTGGGTGTGATGTGACCACTAGAAATAGTCCTAGCTCCTAGCAGCTGCCCGTCTTGTCTTCCTCCCATGTGTGGCTTTTAGTGGGGACATCTTGGGTAGGCTGGGATGGACAGACCACCTCTGCAGGCTACATCCCCTCTAACCTCCACCCGGCCCAAGTCAAAGCTGCCTCTCGGGTCACTGGGCTCTGGGTGGTCAAGGGACTCTTGACGGTGATGGGTTGGGAGCAGAGTGACACAGTGATAAACGGGCACAGGAAATCAAGTTCCAGCTGCCGCCTGACAAGCCAGAGCTTCTCTCTGCTCTCAAGTCCTTTTCCGTGCAGAAGTTTTCCTCCAGCACTGAGGGCACCTCATGCTCCACCCGGGACCAGAGGAGCCCCAGAGGGGCCAAGGTGTCTGAGGAATAGGTGACATGGATGGTGGGTTCAGTGTCACAGTGTGGATTACAAGTAGCCTCTATGGGTGGTCACCCTTTTCCGGGCAGCCACACCCCAGAAACTGTTCGGAGGAGTTTCGGCAGAGGGGAGTTCCCCACCCACTGCCCAGTCACCGGCGAACCTTCTGGAAACAAGCAGCCAGCCTGGATGAGCTCACAGGGCAGGAACACAGCAGGTAGGGAAGACAGGCTCCAGATCATTCCCTGGAGGGTCTTTGTTTGGATTCCTGGTGAAACAGGACCTTTGAAAAAGTCATTCGGGCACCAGGACGCCCGCCTCTAACCTTTCCAGAAGTCACCTCCGCTAATCCTCCAAAGCTGTGGGGCATCGCTCCTTCCTGGAGGCCAGCTCTAAGCAGTGGAGGGTTTCTGCTTCCTGCCGCCTTCCTAGGGTTCAAGCCTAGAAATGCACCTCTGCTGTTCAGTGCATTCGTTCCCCCACTGCTCCTCAAACGGGGTCCCGGAAACAGCGGTGTTCGTATTTTAGCTCCTAAGACCTGCAGATGCTCAGACCCCACCCACGACATCTCGGGAGGCGGGGACCCAGCAACCTGTGTTAATGAGCTCTCTAGGGAGATTTGGATGCATTCTAAGTGTGAGGACCCCTCTTCTCGGGCAATGGGTCCTTTCTGATGAACCCCTACCACTGATAAGCTGTTTGGTTCTGACCTCCAGGAAGGAGAGATTCCTGGCAAGCTCTGAGCCAGAGACAAACGATGATCCAATCTTGTTTAATATTTAATCAACGCATGATTAATAGTGAAGTCATTTTGGGAGACCACCCTGATCATTGGAATCCATGGCTCAAAGTAAGTTCCCTGGAAACTTGACACACGTCCTCACAGCTATATTTCATCATCTTCATGTACTCTAGATGCTATAAAATAATTTGGTATCCTTGGCACGGTTCCCTTTGTGCAATAACTCTCCACTGCTATTTCTAGAATAAGAGAGAGGCATCCGATGCTTTGTTAAAGATCTGTTGGGCTAATGAAACCCCCATTGTCTACCAAAACTGGAATGGTTTCAAAGAGTGTCATGGAGTTTCTCTGAAAGGTCTCTTTGTTTCCTTTACTCGTAGCTTACCTATTTATACCCTGTGATCTCAGTACTGTTAGCTTTGGGTGCATTGTCTCACAAGTGAAATGAAAGAGTTGTTCCCGCTAGATTCCAGTGGGTCACTTCCCTTGTCAGGGCCTCTGTGACTTTAACATTCTCCAGGCTAGAGATGCCAGGGCAAACCAGGCAGGGAGTGAAAAACCATGCCAGGCCCCAGAATGTTGTCTGTAATCCTTGTTATACCTACTGGTTCCCAACTTGGCTTGACTTAAAATTCCACTCTTTCTCCACATGGGAAATAGCCCTTTTGGGGAAACTTCTGTTAGTAGCCTCCTGTCCAGTGTTGCCCATCTAACCTCTGTCCCCACATCTCAGCCAAAGCCTGACCCGCTTCTGAGTCGTATTTTACTGACCACACTCATTTCATGATTCTATTTCAGCAAAATCCCATATTCTAGCTCAGCGTGTCTCAAACTTCCGTGTCCATCCTGGTCACCTGGGAGACTTGTTACAAGTTACGGCAAATTCACAGGCAAGGCTGATGCTGCTGGTCCAGGGACCACACTTTGAGAACCACTGGCTAGTGGCAACATCTGGATTCCTCCCGATTATTGCAGCCCTGTGGCGTTTCATTTCTTCCTCTGTTTCCACTCATTCCCTTTACAGCATCATATCTCTTGCAAGTTGCCAGGCAACTGTGATTTATTGTTTGAACAAGTAAAGTTAATATAAATCTCAACATCTTTTCATAACTTTTATTTGGGACAGTGAACTGACGCATGTCCAGGAAAACAACTCACTTCCTTGCTCCAAGTAAAGTGCTTGGAGGATGATAAAACCACACAGTATCCTTTAGAAACTTGGCATGTCCCATGACACTTCCCGATGGACACATGGACACAGGGAATAGGATTACAGATCAGCCTCATTTAAGGTGAAGTTTGCTGGGGGAGATTAGAATTGCTCCCCGTGGGACTTAAATTAGGTACAAAGCAATTAACTGTAAGCAACCAAAAAAATTGGCTCCATAAAAATTCCATTTCAAATCAGCTCTTGACTTCGAGCTTATGACCAGTTACCTTCACTGTGTAAGAGCCAAACAAGACTCTGGAGGTGGAAAACGTGGACAGTCCTCAGTTTCTGAGACCCCTACCCAAATATGGAAGTTGATGGAGCCTTGTATCAGAGGTCTCATGAGCACCCGATATTTCTATAAACTTTCTGACTTTTCAATTTATTCCCACACCTAGAAATAGAAATCTTCCCATTTCTGAAAACAAATACACTAGGGCTTCACCTCGGATGCCGGTTCAGTTGCCTGTTATTAAATACCTTTGATTTCCTTCCATTTCTTTCTGAGTGTAAACATTTTTCAGTGACTTCTACTGAGAACCAGTACATCAGCTCAATAGAATGTGTATCCTTGGCTGTAGATTAGATAAAGAAAGCCCCCTTTCTTTCGTATAGATTTCCAAGTTGCTTAACCTATTAAAATTAGCATTTGAATTAAAAATATTTGGCATAGAAAGTAAAGAGTCAATTTTCCCAAAGAGAGCCTCAAAACAGAACAGAGTATTAACTTGAGAAGGAGGCCTCCAGGGTTGAGGTTCATATGGAAGAATAATTGGGAAAACCAAGTAAGTGCTATAAAGTAGCTATCCAGTGATAAGCTATTATTTGCATTAGTAGTGACTGAACTCATAATACTGCCAATGTCTCCTTGGGAAATTTCTAGCTGTAAATATATATTTTAATCCTTACCCAAGGACATGTTTATTGATTTTAGAGAAAAGAAAGGAGAGAGAGAGAGAGAGAGAGAGAGAGAGAGAGAGAGAAAGAGAGAGACATAAATCGGTTGCCTCCCTCTCGTACACACTCTGACCTTAGATCAAACCCATAATCTAGGTATGTACTCTGACTGGGAATTGAACCTGCATCCTTATGGTATACTAGACGACACTCTAACCAACTGAGCCACCTGGTTAGGGCTAGCTGTAAATATTGTTAAAACTCTCCAACCTCCCCATGGGTACAACTGGGAGAAAAATTTGAATCAGGTTGTTTATTGTCTTTAATGAGGTAAGTTCTCCAAAGCTACGTGAGTCTGAAAACCACATTTTTATTTTTATGTTTTTATAACAACTACATAGTGAATGACCTGCACCAGTAAATGCTCCGTAAGTATTTAGAAATAGAAATCATGGAAGTGGGAGGCGTTCTAAAGATGCCTGTAAGGAGTCACTTGGTGATGAGATACAAAGAGACCTCGCTGCTCCCTCACAGGTAGAGAGACTCTGTCTGCTGAGAGATACAATATAGCGTTAGTGTTTCCAGAACTGGGTGTCGCCTGGCACAGAAGGTGTGAACAAGGGATATTAGGATTCAAGTTGTAATTCCCCCAAACATACTTTGCGAAGCACAAGCTTCAGACAGAGACATCACTGCTTCCCTTGAGGGGGGAGGATGGGAAAGACTTTGCTTAATTTTTGAAAGGTACCTTCAGAATGCTTCATTCTCGTAATTCTCCTGTTGACTAAGAAGTAAGACCAACAATGGATCGTACGAGCTCTGGCTGGGGAACACTGACCGGCCTAGAAATATGGCCACGCTCTGTAATTTAGGACATACCTGTTTCAGGATCAATTCTGGAAAGACAAGACACACATTCAATTCAGTCCCTACCCCAACCTCCCCATGTCCCCCGACCCCTGCCATCTTATCAACACCTTTCCTGAAACATACAGAGACTTTCTTGGGATTTGACCATTTTATAAGTTTTTTCCTCTGCACATCTTTCCCTCCAAGTGTCCCGAAAAGATTTTCTGAGTAGGTTTTCTCTGTCCTTTGTCTCCACTTCTACCCCAAAGTTGATGTTGGTGAGAGCGGTCACCTTTGAAGCTGCATCTTGACTGGACAGCCCCCATTCTGTGGGAACCTCACAGTGGCGGGTGGGTTTGATCCATGATTTCATTGCAACCATTACTCACCTGCAGGACACACGGCCAGGGAGGAACACTGGACCCCAGGGGCCATGGCCAAGGAGGCAGTTGTGTCGTGAGTTCACTTTTAAAACCCTGACGACACAAACACACTGCCTACCTGGCCGCCAGAAAGGCAGCAGGTGTGTTTCAGGTAAAGAAGCTGGTGACACAATGTCTGTCCCTCTGGAGGAAGTGGGTGCTAAGGACCAGTTGAGCCAGATAAGAAAGCACACTAAGTTTACATAAAGTGTTTTTCTCCATGGAGAGATTTCCCTAACAGGTGTGCCAGGGGAGGGGACAGGACCGGGAAAGAAGGTGAGCCACAGCAGACGGAAGTGAGTACTGAAATTCTGGATGAGCAATGGGAGGCAAAGAACAGAACCATTTGGGGGTGTTGTTAAACATTTTTCTCAGATACACTCTTTACAGACTACTGCATGTCCCATTATTAACTCCACCTGTTGCCTTTTAAACGATTTACTTATATAAATCATTGTGGGACGACCCTCTTTGCCTACACAATTTATTCTGTCACTGAGGTATGAAGGGACCAAAGTGGGAGAAGGTCTTGATCACTTCGGATATATTTTCCTAAGTTGATTTCTAAAGAGTTGTGGTAATGAACAGTCCCAGCAGCAGGCAAAGAAGACTGATAAATTTGTTCTTGTGACTTTCTCGGTGTGGCGTTTGGGGAAGGAGAAATCCCTTCTGATCCTGGATCTCTGGGAACTGGTGTGTGGGGGACAGGTAGGGGAGACTCTCCAGTCTCTGTTAGGGAACTGAGGTCACACATAAAGTACCTCTTTGCATTTACAAGTCAACTTTCCTCTTATGAGACAATCAGGAAATGAACTTTGAGTAGGAAATGAGTCAGAAAAGAGAGCAAAGAATGAGCTAATCTCTCAAAATATGCTGTCTGGAGGCTTCCGGGACAGGACAGAAGGGTGCCTACCCAGTACCTGGGCACATAACAAGGGCCAAGCCAACCCTGGCTCCGGTGAAGGTGGTACACTGTCCATCTCCTCCTCTAGCATCGGTAGCCCTCTTCCTTTCTTCATTTATTCTTTAATTCATTTAACATTAGCTGAGCACAGAGCCGAGGGCTGTGAAAGAAAAGGGGTGCCAAAGTGCGAGGGTCTCAGTCTAGTAGGTTTTTGAATAAAGTCTTGAGACTAGGAACCGATCCCAGACACATACGCAGTCAATGTGACCACATATCAATGAAGACTAGAGCGATGGTCAGGCATGAGTCTCAGAACGATGAGGACACTTATACGCTGTGGATGCCAAGTCATCTTTGTCCAGGCACAGAAAAAGAGAAAAGGCATTCCAGGAAAACCCTATGAGTCTCACATGTTTGGGATTGCGGCAGCAAAAACCATGGTGGAGGCGGGGACTTGGGGACAGAGAAGGGCAGGCCCCCGGTGACAGAAAGGGAGACTGTGGAATGAGTCAAAGTCGTACTATAGAGTCTTTGTATTCCATTCAAAGGGCTTTCACCTATCCTGTAGGAGTGGCAAAACCAGAGAATGACACTCGCTCCTGCTATCAAAAGATAGCTGGGGGCAGAGTCAATGGGTGAGCCTGGAATGGGGAGTGACGAAAGTCATGACATAAGGTGATGACATAAAGACATCACCACACGTGGATTTTGTGGTACACATCTTTTCGAAACAGGGGCGGATGGAAGCATGCAGCAGAAATGACCAGAAACCACAGATGAGCCTGGGAGACAGTGATGGAGTTAGAAGCCAGGGTGGCTGTCATGGCAGAGAATGAAACACAGCCAGGAACATTCCAAATATTAGAATAATGTCATTATTGTTCCCTTACCTGTGACGGCGGATGGACCCGTGTGATCTATGATCTTTTCTGGGTCTTTTATTAAGTTTTCATCATAGTGCTGCCTTCACAATTCACTGCCTCAGGGGACATTTGAGATTTCAATTCGAAAATGAGAGTCGCAGAATTAGATAGTCTTCATTTTTTTTTTTTTTTCTCTTTCTCCATTTTTGAACCAACTTCAAACAAAGGCTTTTGAAAAACAAGGTCATTGAGCCTTTTAACCTTCAGCTAGGAGGTGGCTAAATTCTCAATCCCCAAGCACACAGTTCAGAGATATGCCCTGTGCCTTTATTATTTGCAAACATACGGGTTTTATTTTTCTGCCCCCACGCAACCCCTGAGGTGGAAGGAGGAGCCTGCTTGGGTGAGTCTTATGCCTGGGCTCTCGGAAAGTTTAGGGAGGGGTGAGGAAGTTTTGGAGGATGTCCCGAGGGCAAAGAAATCGACAAAGTCATGATACAGGAAGACCAAGCTTCATGGTGCTGGGGTTCAATCAGACAAGGAACACAGAGGAGCTGGACTCTGAGGAAAGTTCAGGGAGAGCTTTGGCCACGTGAAAGCAGGAAGTGACCTTTAGCTGGTCAAGCAAGACAGAGATGACACCCAGAGACGTTATGGTGAGAAGAGAAATTCTAGCTTCTTTTTCTCCCTTCAGATCACGTGCTCTGTTGGGCTGGATCTCTGTCCCCGGGCAGGGGCAGGAAAAGTGAAACGTCCTTTTGGACTTGAGCACAACGCAGTTTAGTTCCCTGCCACGCAGGTGATCCAGCTGGTTGGCTGAAGTGAACTTTCTCCTTCCCATCCCTGTTGTGACTCTCTGTGGCCACATGGTACTTGCACGTTGGCACCTCTGCGGTTTGCTTTGCTTCCCAGTGTCTGATCTTGC